CACACACACACACACACACACACACACACACACACACACTCACACACTATGTATTAGTTATACACACACATAGACAAAAATCAAATCAAAACTTACAATGCCCTCTTACAATATTTACAATAACTAAAAACTGTGTAATTAGGCTTTTAAATGTTTTCTAAAATAAGGAATAGTAGCTATTCTCTATTTGCATAAGGCAGTTAATTCCACTTAAAAGATGCTCTAAATATAACACTTACGTTTAACTTGAGGAATTACTAAACTGCAGTTTGTTAGAAATCGTGTTGCATGATTATGTATTTCATCTGGATACTGCAGTTGAGCAGAGAAACAAATGTGATGTGCTTAACAGTATTGCTTTCTTTATAAATAAAAGTAAGCCGTAGTGTAATTTAGTTTGTACACAAAGCCAGAAAAGTTTATTATGGATTTGATCGATACTTGTATAGTATGAACATCTTAACATTACTGTGGCCGCCCTATTCTTGTCATGGCTGTGGCAGCAGTCGTGTGGGGTTGAAGGGAAAAGGACCCAATTGTAGGCACTGATGATGCAATGAATGAGCTTTATTTACATGAGGTGATAATACAGAAACTAAGAACAAACCTAAACTGGGACAATCTAACCAACAAATATGAAACCATAACTCAGAGGGAAAACATGCTATGATGATATGGTAGCCACCTGAAATGATGGTGGTTTTCCTTTAGTGCGAACAACTGCATGTCAGTTTCACACTTGGTCTAACAGTCGTCACTGGTCTTTCAATCTCCCGCTGGAGAGCCGTGAGCTTCTCTGACATGTTATCAATTTTGCACTCAACGAGCACAGTCTGAGTGCTCACGACAGCCGTGAGCTTCTCCAAGATCTTATCTGTGCTGCGTTCAATGAGCCCATTTTGAGAAGTCGCGACCCGTCCCATCATTTCCATCACAGCGGGCAGCCTTGTGGGATTTTGAACAGCTGATTCCGCTTTCTTTAATCTGCGATAAGAAAGGGCCAAGCCAGCTCCGATCAGCAAGAACCCTGTTATCATGGAATAGGTAGATGTCTTCAATGTCCGACAGTCCCACCAGGCACACGACTCACCAGTTTTTCCACTCGTCCATCATGTATCCAGCAGGGAACGTCCCTTCAGAACACTCGGCTCACCCCGGGCTTCTCATTGAGAAGAGGGTGTCAATTGCGTTCAGGGACCAGTTGATCAAATCCATAATTCCTCTTTTAGGTTTTAGAGAACAGACCGTGAGAGTTTTCCAGGGCAAAAGTAGAAAAGTAGACGGGACTAAACAAGAACATTGAGAAGCCAAGCAGGAAAGATAAGGAGGGAGAGGAGAAAAGTGCGACCGCCTTCGTCAAGAGCCACACGAGAAATCTACTAGTGCATTAATGACATCATTCATGATTGAAGAAGTGATATAGAAAGAGCATTTCCAAGCCATAGCTATGCCCTGTCCCATTTTCCATGTTCTGAGACCATGAAAGGTGATGATTTATGGTAACACCGAGTAGTTTAATCTGGGTGACCTGTTCTAATACTGATCCGACTATGGAAAGATTCAGTTGTGGAATGTTGACTAAACGTCTTCTACCTCCAATTAACAGATATTTAGATTTAGATACATTTAGAATCATGTTGTTTTTACTTATCTAGTCAAACAAGCAAATCTTTTTGTAATACGCTGGTCAATTCGAAGTTGTCACTGGCTGAATAAAACATGGTGGAATCATCGCATACATAAGTTTTCATCCAGCACAAAGCAGCTGGTGAGAATCCATAACATGTTAGTTTATCAATCAAAAGATCATGATTTATTAAATCAAATGCAGCACTAAAGTCCAAGAACACAACCCCAACCACTTTCCCATCATCTAGACCAGCGGTCCCCAACCCCCGGGCCTCAGACCAGTACCGGTCCGTGAGTTGTTTGGCACCGGGCCGCGAGAGTTGAGGCTCAGGTGTGAAATGTATAGTTTTCAGGGTTTTTATCGGTTTTCAGCGTTATTTTGTTATCGTTTTTATCGTTAACTCG